CACCAGAAAGACGAGGCTAATGAGAGATAATCTAGTTTTGCGATAATATCGCCGCTAACTCGCTTCGTGCCTCCGTCACGCGGTCCGCTCATCAATGGTGAGACAAGAATAGAGCGATTGGACGTCTGTCCTTTTCTAACTTACTATCATTTTACGGGAGAGCAACGGGTACGAACCAGTCGCATTTTATCGTTACCATCGCGAAAATGTGCCTAACGAACGTAGTAAAGGCGCACTTTGTTAGATGGCGTCTCGAAAATGCGCCTAACTCTGGCCATTGAAATCAGTCTGGTGGCCGCTCTCATGCTTCTCTCTAGTTTCAGATATGCGGATAAAAAATTGCCTGAGGGACGGTTAACGACATACATCACGACCGTGAACGCGGCGAACGGTTCGTTCGATCGGCTTGGTCGGTGTGACGACTCGTGGGCGGCTTTAAAACCACACACACACACACACGTTAGCACGACGCCGAGCGTCGTCGCCGTCGTCGAGAACAAAAATGCGACCGGACTCGCGTAGCGTGTCGTTCACATTCCACCGGGAAGTGCTGGCAGTGCGAAACTCGCCGGAGATGGTAGTGCGGAGTTCGCGCAACCTGCGTCAACGTCTGCAGGATCGATTCGAGAAGGACCGATCGGGCGAGAACGCCAAGGAGAAGCCACCGAAGACTAAGGAATCCGCGACCAGTGACCGAGCCTGGAACAACATCAGCCTCGGCAACGTGTCCGCGGATTCGCGTAGAGCCCTGCGGAGCGGCGCCGAGAAACTGTCCAGAACAATATCCTCAGTGCGCACTACTTTCGGCACAATATCCCAAGTAAGGATGTCGCGAAATTTGTATAAACTTGTGTAGGAAATCGATTCAATTTTCTCGATTTGTCTCTAATATACTTTATAACTACCAACGATAAACGATCTATTTTTATCAGAGTAATCAAAAAACAACAGATTTTGGAAAAAATATATAATGTGCAAATATTTGTGTTTCCTAGTTTTACTTAATATCAATTAAAACTATAGAAAGTGTATTGTTATAAATTTGAATAATCTTTATAAGAAATTACAGAGAATTTACTTCTATAAGAATGAGAATTCATTTTTGTAAGAAATCACAAAAAACGGAATTTTTATAAGAAATTACAAGGAAGAATTAATTTTTATAAGAAACTAGTTGAAATTACTCAGCGTTGCCTGGGTTATCACAAAATGTCAAGATGAAATCAGGAAGAGATGAGTATCCAGATTTCATGTAGCCTATACTAGAAACTATGCAAAATTTCACTTAGATCGATCAAAGAGTTTATGAATACAGGAAATAGATATTCAATATTATATATCAATATAACATTAAATATCTATTTCTTGTATTTGTAAGCTTTTTGATCAATCTAAATAAAATTTTACATAGTTACTAATATAGGCTACGTGAAATCTGGATACTCATTTTTTCCTTCTGATTTCATCTCCCTGACATTTTGTAATAACCCAGGCAACGCTGAGTAGTTTCAACTAGTTTTTTATAAAAATTAATTCTTGTAGTTTTTTATAAAAATTAATTCTGTTTTTTGTGACTTCTTACAAAAAATTAATTTTCATTCTTATAGAAGTAAATTCTCTGTAATTTCTTATAAAGATTATTCAAATTAATAAAATAAAAATAAATTATTAAAAATAATGATTATCAAAAACTTATTATCTTTACTGCTTTAGTAATTCTAATGTTAACCCTGATGTTTTACTTAACTATGAACAACCGAATCTTTTGTGCTTAGAAATTCAGAAGCTCTACACGCAGACGTCAGAGACTAGAGGAGCAGCAGTCACCAGGTTCCAGAATGCAAACACCTCAAACACGCTCTCGTCAATTATTGGGCCGCACACCAACCAAACTTTACAGTCCCTTTGGTATTGAGTCGCCCAGACATGCATGGGACAAGGAGAACGATGCTACACCGGTGCATGCCTCACCAGAGTGTAACACGCGTTATCTACAATGTAGACCGTTTCGCTTCTCAAAAGCAAAAGGGTTCTCTATGCTGAGATAAGAGAGCTCAGGAGTTTCTCAAGAATATTGCCATTTCGATCTCTTTACTTCCTAGCGAACGCAGTCAGGATTGCGTGCCTTGTGCAACACGTTATATCGAATATAATTTATTTATGTTCAGTCGCGCGAGATGGGACTCTGCGCTGCGAGCGATCACGATTGTCATGGAGCTGGCAATGATTTTATACAAGTAGCATAGGTATCCTGACTTGTATACCTTCCACAATACTCATTCCATCGCTTTCTTCACATATACACGTATATTGTATACTATATGTAATTCTATTTCTACTTTTTTATATACATATATTTATAATCGCAATATACGATGCATGCATAGCGTGCAGGGCCAACGATTGTATCCGAGTGTATGCTAAATATTGGTAGCTAAAATGATGTCCAAAAGTTTCGAGATTGTTCGCAACAGAAGCGCATCAATATAATTTATTTTTTTCTTTTCTATTTATTTGTTTCGTTCAATGCGCAGCTTTCGCGAGAAAAAGTTTCTTAAGAGAGTTTCTTTGTGCTTGAAGGAATTATTCAAATTTTATCGTATCAATAAAGCAATCGTATTATTACGTTGTGATAATTGCTCGTTCGAAAGGATAGATGCGAATATAAGTTTCTCGGCACTAAATAAAACGCACATTTTAATTAATGTTAGATTTTGGCTAGGTATATTTTCACTCTATCCTTTTCAACGAGATCATCGTAAAAAAGATATACTCCTTTTATTAATATATACTTATTTATATATTCTGCACATATATAAGGTGGTCCTTGGACTATAAGAGGTCCAAAGACTGCTGCTTTAACGATTAAAGTAAGGCAGCTCTAATAGACGGCCTCAATATAGCCCTACTCTCAAGCTATTACATATCTAAACCTAATTTATTGGCACATAATAAAATTTTTTATTGAAAAATCAAGTAAAAAATGTTTGTTGATTAACCCAAGACTACACAATAAACACGAACTAAAAGTAACATTATTATCAATGTTACAGTTCCCCACTCAGCGATGCAAGTGCAATATAAGATGCATTACATATAATGATTACTTCGCTGAGTGGAAAATTCTAACATTGATACAATGTTGCTGTTCTTCTGCTATTTTATGATCTAAAATTACTGTTCCTTTAATCAGTTTTACTAAATTGTTTTCACTGCCCAGAATTCTTTAAACAAACTAGGTTAAAGGTATGATTACATCAAGATCTTGGTTCTTCTAACGAGCTGTTCCAAGAGCAAAAAGAATTTTGATTCAATGTTATTAGTTTTATGAGATGTCCATTGAATATCTATCTAAGGATACATTCCTACCTTCTAATCTCAGTAGTATTGTAATTTCATGTTCTAATATGTAATATTGTACAAAAGCAATATACATGCATATATAATACATAATACATATACATGCATATATAATACATAAAATATGATATACTATTAAAGAACACTGATATTCCAGAAATGTACATGACACTCGATTTGAAATCTTAATTTTATGATTTATTATTATCCATGCACAAATGTCTATTGCAAAGATGCATGTACATCTATGATGCAATAATATATTATATATTTTTGTAAAATTGTATTTTTCTATAATTGTCGTAGACGAATAATAACGGTCTTTAACAGTAACAACAAATTTTCATAACAAAAAAAGTTGAAAACTTACCGAAGGCGTTATGAAAAACGTCAAGCCTCTCGAGTGAGTAATTGCGTCAGATAGAAACGAAACCACTTGTCCCATTTCACACGCACGATTCCATGTTTACAACATGATACGAAACGACGCAATGAACACCGGCTGCGAGTATCCAGTTCGATCACTGGCAGTCTGATTTATATGCTAAAACAATCGCCCGTAAAACAAATCACTAAATTCGGCACTCTCGACACTCACTTGCGCGCGAAATTCGTTGTTAACATCTAAAAGGATACATTGAACACGGAACGACCCGCACACGAACCGTCTCGAAATAATATGAATTGCCGCGGCGTATCACAGACGTCACATTCGCTATCGGTAACGCGACGTTATCGACGGCATTACCGACAGCGATTAATTTTCGAACTAACAAGTACAAGTTACTGAACGTTTGATTTTAGACATAACCCAGATTCGCGACGTCTTTACGCGACATCGTCAGTTGAACATTTCGGATAGGAAGGTTGTCCTAAGCATTTCACATATTTTGGACCGCGAATCTTTCGATGAACACACAAGCCGCCGTGATCTCCAAACTAGTCTTGCACGCCACGTCGAGCGTGCGGATGCTTCGAATATCTCAATTGCTGCATCTTCACTCAATTGCAGAACGATCGGCAGGAGGATCGTCTCCGAAAATCCATCTCGTATTCTCGTGATTTTGAGTCGCACAAGGTGAGTGAGATACGCGAATTCTCATCGGGAGTGACGAGAGAATATTTCGTGCGACCGCGGTAGCGAAATCACCGAGAAATCGCCGAATGTAAACGCGAGAGTTATTGTCAAAATGCCGAGCAAAACACTCCGCGTCGGTTACGTTGTTATTGTCTAAAGCTCGCCGAATATAAACAACACGCGAGAGTAACTGTCGGAATGCGGAGCGAAACATTGTGCGTCGGTTGCGTTGTTATTGTTTGGAGCTCGAGTGTATTTGATATCTGTAGCGTCGGCAGTCGGGATCGCGCGTTTATCACGGTAACATGTTGAATCGCGGTAACATTGAGAATCCGTCGCAAGTCAGGGCGAAACAGGGGGAGCGGGTAGACCGAGTGAAGTTCGTGCGCGTTCAAACTTCGAGGACTCAATTGCCTCCATACTCAGCGGAATCATCGTGTAGCAAGTCGACTGCGAGAGTAGCTCCGTGTCTTTCGTCCCGTATTTACTATAATTTCTGCTCGTCGCGGCGAATCTCGCACGTCAGCTATCGTCAGGACTACCGAAAGTAAATTACGCACGTTATGGTGACAGAATAGCATTGAACAATCAAAGCAAGTAGGTGTCTCGCGAAAATCTAATTGTCAAAAGTACCGAGGGAAATTTCACGCGTATATTATGTTTTATTATCTAAAGCTCGATTCTCGGCGTTGTTTACTTCGGTCTATCGAAGATGATTTTTGCGCGTAGTTGTTTTATAATTTGTAGCATCGACGGTCGGCATCGGGCGTTGATCGCGGTAACATCCCAGTAAACTCTAATTGACAGTAACATTATGTCAATTTTTTATATATAATTTCTCACTCGACGATTTAATTGTCACACACACACACACATACATTATATTACATTCACATTATTGAATGAGAAATAGTTGACATCACGTTGACATTATGTTACTGATAGATGGCATTATACTACTTTGGCGTGAGGAGGTACCGAGTGAACTTCGCGCACATTCAAACTTCGAGAAACTCAATCATTTCGATATTCAGTCATTGATGACGGAATCGTGCGGCAGGTTGAGCAGCTTCGTGTTTCTCATTCCGTATTTACCGTAATTTCTGCTCGCTGCAGTGATTTTCGCACATCAGTTATCGTCGCGAGTGTCGAAAGTGAATTACGTGCACTTGTGGCGATAGGATGTCGCCGAGAGTAAATGACTCGCGAATCTAACCGCCAAGTACAATGGCTGCGTTCAGCAGAGAAAGCTGCTTTGCAACTGTTGTAAAATTTATGAATCTGATTAGTACATGCTCTTGGATTCAGTAAAAATTAAAAGCATACTTCAATCAGATTCACGAATTTTACAACAGTTGCAAAGCAGTTTCTCTGCTGAACGCAACCAATATCGCGCGTCCATTGCGTTGTGTCGTCCGTAGCTCGTATCGCATTGTTTGTATTTCGTTCCGCCGCAGATGAATCCTACAGGCGTTGTCGTGAAAGCCGCCGTGAAAAAATATCTCTCAGTCATCGGAACGGTAATATCGATAAAGAGTCGTGTTTGGGGCTCAAACCGTCGCGCACGACATCTTCAAGCTGCCACGGGAATTTCGCGTGTAAATTATCGCCGGGAGTGCCGGGAAACAAATCGCGTTTTGTGCCAGAATACTGTCGGACAGCTAGTGGAAAGTGGAAATCTTGCGGAATGGACGGAATGCCGAGCGATGCAGGTCGACCGTCGATAGCAGTCGGTATGTACCGATAAAGCAGAGTCTGCAACAAGTAAGTGATTTATCTCAAATTTTACGTGTCGAATTGTACATTTTATTCGCGATTTGAAGTCGTATATAAAGTAAACAATTTGTCTGAAACATGAGAGAAACGGCGCGTTGCCTGGTATTAAGAATCCAAGTAAAATTAGCGTATAAGATGTACAATCTCATTTCATAAGTTTTAGATAAATATTTATTTTAATTTATTTTATATTAACAATCGCCATATTCGACATGTTTATGGGAAACTTTTAATTTTTGTCTGAGAGAGATTGTTTTCTCAAGCATTACGACGAGATATTATTAACGTCTAACGGCCGTATATATACGACAGATGTATATTTGAATTTATCATGCTGTGTACTTACTCCCTCTCGGAAAGCTGCGCGATAATAAGAAGTAGTAACCCAACGTGCTTGCATGGTAACTTCGATAATGCAGTTTTCTAGAAATTTACGATATTCTCACATCGTAGATACGTATAATGAGGCATACGAATAACAACAAATTATACAACGGATGTGCAATTACATATATATTTATATTATATTTATATCGGATAATGGTGAGAACGGTTGATAATGTCACATCGCTCTCTAATTACCCCCGCGCGAATCCACTTTATAGTCACGTAGCTCCTCGCGTATGGACAAATTGTTAATAGTATCTCGTCGAATTTGCATTTTTGAAAATTGTGGCTCAATATACGGAACAGAACTCGCACAATTTCAAATCAACTTTTCACGAATTGATATTTTCCAAATTTAGCAAAGAGAGTACATGTCATACATCAATTCATGTGTTTCTTCATTTATATCTTCAAAAAGATATTTTGTTCACATTTCCGAGAGACATTAGTTCGACAAAACTCATTTCACATCATTACACACGCATTATTCGTTTACATTAACGCCTTAAATTACAAAGTAAAATGAAATGCGTATTTATACGTAATCGACTTATATTTCGAAGTTTCTTTTTTCATGCATGCAACTTTGTTCACACACAACACTTGCTTCTGGAACTCGCGTGTTTTGTTTCTATTCTGAGAATAGAATGTTTACTATTCGATGTTTTTGCCTATGACTGAGCATTATAAAATCATCAGTCCAAAATATATACAGAGTTTGTTAACGAGAACTTTCTCTACCTTTATTCTGTAATCAATCGATTTTTGTAAAAAAAAAATGCCGATACACATCAATGTTTTTTTCAAGAGAACTGTATAATTGTGATAAATTTAACTAAATTACTTCATCTCCTTAATGGGTAGTTACCAAAAATCTGAAATAACAATAGAAATTAAATAATCGGAAAGTTTTCGTTGGCGAACCCTGTATAAGTATATTACAAGATAAAAAATGTTTCATCTCGGAATTTCCATATATGTATTTTGTTCGCGAAATCGTATATACGTACTAACGACCGTTGCCTTTGAAGAATTCGGCATCCTTTAATTATATTTATGCTAACTGACGCCACCCTTGTGGGCTGTGTGTATCTTTTCTCGTCGCCGTATACATACATACAAACAAGCGCAAACGAGCGTTTGAGCGATATAGAATAGCCAGAATTGTCATTAAGCTCCGTGGATGGTTTCCCATTGGGACCCGTGGGATTTCCCGGCTGCGTACACACATTTGCACGACAGCACATACATGTGCAGGTGCGCTCGCGCATACTCGCGTGTGTATAGGTGTATAGGTGTATGTATGTGTGGCCGTACGCCGATTCCCCTGATTCTTATATCGACCCGGCAGATCTGATATCATCCCGGCGTTATCCCTTGGGCTCTCACTCATCTGCCGACAAAAGAGCATCTGTGCGAGCCGATCCGTAATGCTCTTGCAACCTGTTCACAAGTAGCTTGCCCTACGCACAGCATGAATTCATTATCAGTCTAGTATAAACATATTGCTTGTATGGGGCGGGGTGCTGTCAGTCAACAGAGCCGCATTTCTGATCCGAGCTACGCGTCTGCACACTCTCTAACCGTGACCTCCCATGTCGCGTCGTGTACAAGTTTTTTTGTTTTTACGATCCGCGCCACTTTGAAAACTCTGAGAAATTCGAAAGACCAGCCCTCTGTTCTGATTGTTCTGATTGTTAATCAGGCGCGAACTCTTGATAACGTG